TCATCCGGGTTCTTTTGGGAGTGATCGGCGATCACTCGGTACCGGATACTCGGGGCCACCCCGTCCCACTCTGCAACGTACAAAGGTTCTCCACAATCGTTCAAATCTTTCCAGATATGATTGAAAAATAATTGCCAGTCTTTATGAGGAAATTTCAGGCAGGGATCTTGATCTCGTCAGATGTGTAGAGCGTAACTGTTCGAGACGGTTTGTGAAATATGTATCCAAATATATGTCCGCTGATCAGAAAGAATTTGTCTCTCACACAATCCGTATTTTCGTGTAGAAACTTTGTCAAATACAAATTACTGTTGTATGGCTTTCTCGGAGCCAAAGCCAGATTTTCCATCATCTCTTCATCCCATTCCTTCTCAGGAGTTTTAGTTGTGTATAAACCATCCATGTCTATGTGTTTCACAGCTCTTTTCTGATTTTCCACAGAAGTGCACGGGTCTATTTATCCAAGCACTCCTTGGAATGCAACCTGATACCACGGGGCACGTAAGGCACAGATGAATCCGCACAGATGAGTCCGGATATGGGAACGATCCATAATATCTTCAAAACATTCCTTAATTTATCACCTGTCATCCTTGGGCTCTTTCATACAGCTGTACAAACATCATTTGTCATCCGGTTTGATGGACGGATTTCACGCGCGCCGGTTTTCGCATATGGAAATTATGATGATGTCAAAGGTCGCATATGGATATAATTATGGGTCAAAAGATCAAAGTCATCAATCATGTTGACATAAGCTCCCGTTTACATACTACTAACTAGTACGACTTAAGTGTATTTCTGTTTTACCTGGGTTATCTGTTGAGTGTTTCAGTTAGAATCTATATGTTAATGTTTAATTGAAATTAAGACACAGGACAGATGGATTACTCTTTAACTTACTGTTTTCAAACGAAGGGTTTTTCCATTAGTGCTGATGTACATTCCATCAGGATCAGGAACAAGGAAATGTCAACCAGGAAATATTGCCTCTGCTCACGTCTATCATGACTCCAGGAAAGAACATATGCGGCAGAAGGGATTTTATGCATTCGTGCATATACTCTGTCATAAATTACTCACTCATTCACTTCAGTGACAATTGTACTGAGATCAAGTTCATTAACCTGTTTAATCCCCAATTTTTTCCAGACATGAAAATATCCAAATGATTATTAGTCATTAGTAACCCTTTGAAATAATCAATTATTATAATTTTTTTTTTTAATTGTTTGGAAAAGTGTGTGAAAAAAATAGTTTTTTGGTCAATCACAATTGTGAGCAGTGGGATAGCGTGTATACTGAATTAACAAATTTCTGCCATAAAAATTGTTATATATCTCAGCCCAGCTATTTTAAGCTCTGTTTATTCACATGCTAGGGTTACTGTTATCATAAAAACCCTTGTACAACACTGATAGGAATACTGAGATAAAAGACAAAAAAAACAACAAAAAAAACACACACAACCATCATTATATTTCAAAATTGTTACTTTATTGTAACATATAATCAGATTGTTGTATTAGTGCTACCAATATTACAACATGAATATTGTAATTTTTATTTGTAACATTTGAACTTAATTTGATTCAAATTTAATTTAATTGGAGTTTGGTGCAGTTGTCGTTGTTTTGTTTGCTGTGTGGAGACGTGCTGATGTCGTGTTTGGTCTCGTTCTGTATGGCGTATCTTGTCAGTATCTGCGCTTTCTTGGCCATTGGTTGTGGAAAAAATAAGGAAAGTGTGTTCAGGCGCCAGCAGAAAACAATGTAAAGAAATACTCTTTGAGAGAAGCAGTCTTTATCAGCGGAAGTTAAAAGCAGCTCGTAAGTGTATTTACTTGTCTCATTAGTGTTTAGTGCAGTTGTCGTTGCTAGGAAACGCACTTGCTTGTCTTCACCAATATCCAGCAACTTCACACAGCCATTGAAGAGGAGTGGACCAGCATTACACTGGTCACATTCAACAACCTGATCAACTCTATGCAAAGGAGATGTGTTGCACTGCGTGAGGCAAATGGTGGTCACACCAGATACTGACTGGTTTTCGGACCACCCCCGACCCCCCAATACAGTAAAACTGCACATTTTAGAGTGGCCTTTTATTGTGACCAGCCTAAGGCATACCTGTGCAATAATCATGCTGTCTAATCAGCATCTTGATATGCCACACCTGTGAGGTGGATGAATTATCTCAGCAAAGGAGAAGTGCTCACTAACACAGATTTGTGAACAATATTTGAGAGAAATAGGCCTTTTGTGTACATAGAAAAAGTCTTAGATCTTTGAGTTCAGCTCATGAAAAATGGGGGCAAACACAAAAGTGTTGCATTTATAATTTTGTTCAGTGTATGTGTCATAAAGCAAGGCCAGACACAACGGGTAAGTGAAAGACAGGATGGTTTATTGACATAAGATGTAGAGGAGTGGAACGGGTTAGGTTAAGGCAGGTGAGTGAATGATTCCAGGGTTCTTATCTGAGTTCTGAGGGTGAGTATCTGATGCCGGTTTTGTAGGAGATCGTGGAACAGATTCCAAGGAGTCGTTGGAGGATCGTGGGAGAACCAGAAGGCAAGTCTTTCTAGGAGAATATCCTATAGAGAGTCCAGAACAGTCCATAGGAGTGAACGGTAGACCGGACAGTGAGTGACTGTGATGTGTGTGTATTTGTAGTGTGGCTTGATCGGTGATAGCAGGTGTGGGTCATCAGAACTCAGGTGACTGTGATCGGGTGATTATCCTGGCTGGTGACTGCCTTGACTGTGATGAATCCCTGACAGTATGTATGTGTGTGTGGTTGTACATACACATATGTAGTTTTTTTTTTTTTGGTGTTTGGCTTAGTGTTATGTTAGAGTCATTATTATTCTCTTATAGCTTTTGTTCTTTAATATTTTTAATTGTTTTTAGCTTTTTTTTTTTTTCCATTTAAATGTTAAGTTTTTGAAATTTTGCTGTATGCATTTGTCATTTTTATTTAATTTCTTTATTTTTAAAATGTGTATAAGTAGTATTTATAAAGTTTTAGCTATGGGTGTTTTTAGTTGTTTTAATACTACAATTGATTGCTTCTATTGTTCTCATTTGTAAGTCGCTTTGGATAAAAGCGTCTGCTAAATGACTAAATAAATAAATAAAATAAATAATTTAGTGCAATATTCACTGTATCTTTGCCATTGCAACATTTTAGTGCAACTTTCACTAACAACTGCAAATGGATTTATATGTATACCTAAATGCACTGTATTATCCCACTGGTCACTATTGTTGCCGTCAACATGTTTACTCATTCTATGATCACACTCAACGAAACTGAATAATTGCAAATTTATATACAGTATTAATGCTAGGCACCTTAAAGATTACATGTACCAAAAATCTTTGTCATATCTTTATACTAACTAAGTAAACGGCTCTGGTCATATGACAATTTGCACTAACCATGTGACACTGCACATATTTAATTGAGACCCTGTATTTTTTTCCATATTTGCAGGGAATGCACTAATATATCAGTCAGTAGGTGCGTTTCCATTACAGGTTTGCGCAAAACTTTGGCGATATTTTCTGAATGTCGATAAAGTATTGCGAAATGACGGCATTTCCATTAACCAATGTTATGCGACTAAAACATAACCTTTTGCCTCTCGCGATAAGTCATGGCAACGGATTTTGGTGGGATTTTGACAGATTTTGGCTAAATTTATTCAAAGGAGGCTTATGCATGTATCTTTACAGAAGCAGCAAAGAGAGCCGCTTCAGAAACGTGCGTGTCGCGGCTGGAATAAACCATAGACTGTATAAAAACATAAACACAAGCATTGAGTGGCCTCAATCAGCTTCAGTGACCGAATCAGAGCCACACTGCACCGCAGACGTGTGCAGTGTAAATTGTCTAAGCATTAATGGTAGGGAAAGCCCCTTATACTGGAGCGCGGCCACTTATGAAGTGTTTCTTGGAGGTTATAGTACGTTGAAGAATGATCATATGACTTTTTACATACGCCATGTGACCTGTAAATGCGAAAAAGCCGTTTCCATTGCAGTTTTGCGAATTAATCCTTTTGCGCATTGCCTGAAAAACCACCTCATGCGAGCGTAAAAACTTTTTGCGATATATGGCCATTTTTGCGAAATTGACGCGTCTCCATTAAGCGTATTTTCAATTCACAATTTGTGCAATTTGAAAGGTAATGGAAACGCGCCTAGTGTAACAGAGACGCTGGAGTTCGGTTAGAATCTATGAGCGGAAGTTTATTAAAGGTCAAGGCTTTAAACAGATGTCGATAATCAGGCAGAGGGTCAAAGTCAGAGAAGCAAGCAGATCATTCGTCGTACACAAGGGCAGAAGCAGAGACAATATTGGAGAGGCAGGCAATGAGTCCAAACACAAACATCAGTCCTATCAGGCGTCAGAACAGAAGGGGCAGAGTACAAATACCGTGAGTCAAGAAGTCAGGCAGAATCATACACAGGAAATCAATCAGGAACAGAGGAAGACTAACGCTTGGTAAGGCAGATAAACTGGCAATACTTCACGATCAGCACATGGACTGGTCTCAGTTTAAATGAGAGTCAAACAGGAAGTGGAAGCAGAGGGAGTGGAGCACGGTCAGTACTCGGGCGAGGGCTCCCTCTGCTGGCTTGGCGTTACAGTCAGTCATTTTTTAGAGCTTTATAAATGAAAACCATCTTTACACTCACTATTGTGACCAGTGGGATAAAATGGGTTAATGACAAACATAAAATTCCCAATGTTCAGTAATGTAGTTTAATCAATGTAACTGGATACAAATGCAAAGTTGTGTTTGCACCAATGTGTTTAAATTAATAGATGCACATATTAAATAGAAATGCATTGAAAATGGATACATACATGAAAAGGATAAAAAGGAAAACCAAAAAGATCAACTTGATTAAAATATAAATACACAAAAACCTGTAAGATGCAATGTATACATAGGAATATAACAGAATGATTGCTATTTATTTGCATGGTCAAACAAATACAGTGTAATACAGAGCTAAGCTCATGCAAAAATAAAAAAGTTCATCCATCCATTTTATAAATCTCTTGTCATGATGCCTATGGACAGTCAGGATCCGCAGACCATTGATTCTGAATCACGAATGCTTTGGCTCGCCATCGGATTGTGTCACTGCACTCTGGAAGAATTTCTTTGTTTTTTTCACGACTGTTACTACAAGTGCTGAGGAAGGTCAGGAACACAGGTATGAATCCGATGCCATGGACGGCCCCAAACAGAATGACTAAGAACATGATCTTGAAGAAGGTCATGAAGATGTAGCTTTCAGCAGCCGCGAGCACCACCACACCAGCGATAGTGGACACGGCTCCCTGAACGATCGGATAGCCCAGTTTAGTGATGGCATCCGTGGCTTTCTCATTCGCTGACGTTTTATCACTTGACACAAAAGCATAGGATATGTGAGCAGAGAAGTCCACAGAAAACCCGATACAGATAACAAGATTAATCATAGACACGGAGTCTAAACTAACATCCCATAATGCCATGAAACCGGCCACTCCCACAATGACAGATGCGATGGCAAACGTCACCCAGAGAGAGCAGAGCGGGTTCGGGATCAGCAGGAGTGAAATAACTAACATGGCACATGTAGCAACTACTATATTTTGGATCGTATTAGTGATGATGACGGCATATTGGTCAAAATAGATGAACGCGGGGTGGTACACTATCAGATCCACAGGCGTCTGCAACTTCCCACATTCGTCTGCGGTTTCTCTAAACACATTCAGCATGTTCTTCTCATCGATCGCAGTGCGGATGTTCACCGTCTGAACGAACATACGTGATGCATGAATTTGATTGTTAGTGAAATTAACATCTTGGCTAAAACCAGAATAATTAAGAAATGCAGTTAAATGGCTTTTGAATTGTGTTTCATTGTCTACATCAAAACCAGAATTCATCCCAAACTGCACATATACATGAAGCCAAGAAATAGGTGGAAGGTCTGAGTCTGCCATTGTCAGATTTTGAAAATTTTCCAAACACAAGTCAAGACTTTCACGAGCAGTTGGGTTCCAGTACTGGAAATGCTCATCCTTTATAACTAACATGACATTAGGACCAAAATCAGAGAAGAATTCGTCCTCATTGTCATAGTAATCAGCAACATATGAGCCATCTGCCGCTAAATGTTTCAGATCTAGACCTTCCTGTATTTGGAAGCATCCGTAGATACTGACTGCCAAATACCCAGCATAGATCAGGCACACAAGCACCTTAACCCACACTCTTGTCAGAAAAGGGCCATAATAGTTTTTAAAGAATGAATCCATTGGCATTTCAAACTCCTTACGTGTGTTTTTATCATAAGCTCCACCAACACAACACCCTTTAGCATCACCAGTGGCTTCTGGGACTCTCATGCAGGTCAGCCAGTGTCTGTTGCCTTTCTCTCGTCTCCCGTTGAACGCCAGACACGCGCCGAAGAAGGTGATGTTGAAGACGAAGCAGAACAGAAGAGCTGTGCTGGTGTACATGCAGAAAGACTGAACCGAGCGGAACGGCGTCAGGAGGCCGATGTAGAACGCCAGCACATCCGTCAGTGTGGTGATGGTGATGGACACGCCGGCCTCCTTATACGTCTCTGCTAAGCGAACCTCAACGGCTTTATCAACTTCAGTCTTCTGCCAGCAGGAGATCATTATGAACATGTCGTCAACACCAACACCTGCAGGAAAGCAGAGACTGTGAGCATCCGCTGTGAGACCTCGACTAGGTGATGAAATGCATGAAATTTACCCAGAATCAGAAACGGGGCTGTGGCCACGGTCATGGCAAACGGCACTCCACAGAACAGCAGCAGTCCAAAGCTGGCCAACACGGCCAAACCGGCGGAGATGACGCCGAATGCAGCCACCCACACCTTCGTCCTGACACAGTCCAACCTGAGGAACGAGACGAGGGATAAAGGACATAGCTAGAGATAGAAATGTACTAATGTGGTTTTTAATTCTTTACAATACCTTAAACAAGACAGAATTGAAATGGTAATGGCCAGGAAATACGTAACAGAGAAGAGGGGGATCACAGAGTCTGCATTGGTCTCCAACTCATTCTGTCTTGATACTGATGTAAAGAAAGACACATGGACCTGTAGAAATTCAACACAAAACACTGCAGTGTAGTTACTGTACACATGAATGTGTTACATTGAGTTCAAGCACAGTGAAGAAATAGTTATGGCAAATTATGACAGGACATGAATAGCCTGCAGAAAAATCAAGCAAATGTACATCGGTTTGGTTCATTTTATCAAAACATTGGAACTGTTGTCCAAATGACTTTTGGTGAGTTATAGTTATTAGATAATATTTGATTAATGTCATCTGTGGTACTTTTACGCACACAACTGTCCTCGGGTATCTGTATACATGTAGATATAACATTTCTTTGGCTTACCGTTTTCTGTTGTGTGTAGTTTGAGAGGAGTTTTAGAAAGCCATCGAGCCACTCAGAGTTTTTCTTTGTCTTCTCCTCATCTAGGAAATAGAAAAGCCTGACCGCTTTTGCACTCGATATCTCTGAGCTATCTTGCTTTAGCTGAACACCACCAATACTTGTTCCCAAAAATGTGCCATTATTCATCGGATATGTTATGGCTGAAGAAACTATTTCAGTAGCATTGTAATTTATACTGTCTAAAATTGGATTTGACATACAGTTTTCCTTTGTTTGGGCACAGAGGTTTTCAAAAGTGTTTCCTGTCGCTATACTTTTCACTTGCCTGTCTAACTCAATAATGTCGTTAAAAGCTGCTTCAGTTAATATATTTTCTCCATGCAAGCCTGTGATGATCAAAGAGGCATAAGTGCCATCGGATGAAAGTCGTAGCTGAGAAAACTCTTCCGATTGTGGGAAATTTTCCACCACAAATGCTCTCTCCAGCTTGGCAGGTCCATTGACGGGCGTGAACTGGTCTTCAATATCATTTGCCTTCCTCTCCTGAAGAAAGATGAAACCGGCTCCAGGGGCAGCAGCTACAAATAAAGCTAATAAAAGAAACACACATGGATGTCTACCAACAACACAACCGAGCTTTTGAAAGACCAGAGACAGAGGCCGTTCGATGCAGTCTGTTTTACACTTCGCCATCCTCCAGGTGAATCTCTTGCTCTTCAGAAGCATCCTCCTTCTTCAATGACTCAGTGTTGTCATTACATACTTATAGGCCGAGCTGACAACTAATGACCCATTTGTTACTCATGAACAAAATAAGGTTGCTCATTAACAAACTTCCTTGTTGGGACTTACCCTCTTCATCACTGCTTCAGTAACTCCACAGTTACTGCCTTTAAATAAAGCAACATGCAGCAGAACATCAGTGTTTCTGGTCCATCATTGACTGAAGCACAGGCTCTACTCTACAGCACAATAACAGATTTCTCTTGTGCAAAAACACAAATACAGTTCAGTTTAATATTTACTCTCCTTATCAGTTCATGACTTTGCATAACTGTTTTTCAATGAACTTTCACTAATATTTCAGTCAAATTGACTGTTACGTTTTACAGTATATTACTGTTTTTCTCTTCAATTTACGGTAATCTACTGGTAGCACAGTTGCCAGCATATTACATTCTACAGTTTATTACTGTTAAATTACCATTTCATTCTGTTTTCTTTAACCCTTTAAATCTGACAGCAAAATCCTCAGTTTTAAACACTTGAACACTTATAATGTGTCCATACTACAGAGTGATAGAGTAACACTGAAGCAGTGCTGAATTTAATGACATAATTATATGATTAATTAAGTGATTACACTCACTCACTCACTCACTGTCACGAATTCGGTTCATGGACTTCCGTTTATTCACCACCAGAGGTCACCCTTTCCATTACATTGACTCTCGCACTACACAAACTGTTCCATAGCACCCCGGACTACATTTCCCATCATTCTTTGCACAATTTGCACACTGCCCTGATTGCACTCATTGCACACAGCTGTTTCTAATTACCTCATTCACTATATAACACCCACTCTAACCACCTTTCTCTGCTGAGTATTGTTTAGCCTGTACCCCTTTCCGAGTCTCTGTGGTTTCCTTGTTTTGCCTTGCCTGTTTTTGCGGTTTTTGATCTTTGCCTGTTTTCCTGGTTTTTTCCCCCTCGTCTCGCCCCTTTGATTCTGTCTGCCGATCGGTGACCTACGCTAGCCCTGTGACTATTCTTGTGTTTTGCCCGCCATATACCTGTTTGCCATTGTTTGACCCTGCCTGTTTACCACGTCTCTCTATTAAAAGGCTTGCAGATGGATCCACACGTCTCACCTCTCGTCAGTCCCGTTACACTCACTCACTCACACACACACACACACACACACACCTACTTAACCCCCCAATGAGGACCTATGACTGAACACCCTCCCTTTGGGTACCCCCCTTTCTGAAGGGTCTAGAGACAAAAGAAGTAAACAACTGCACTACAGATGAAGCCTTCAGTACAAATATCACTTGATATTTTCAATTAAAACCTTATTTACAGACCTGACATTTTGCCTTCATTTTGGGGACAGTATTTTTTATGTCCAATTTGGGGACAAACACAAACTCTGATCAAGTGAATCTTTGAGGACTATGGTGATACACAATCTCTGGTTGTGTTATACTTTTAGGACTTTCAGAAGATACATATAATTTATGCTAATTGGAAACAGAAGTACAATTCCAAGTTCAAATATTGACATATGACGTAAATGTGTGACATGGTAAAGTTTTTTTTTTCCTATTTGATGGTTATGGATTGGTAAGCTGTTTTTCCACTGCATAATTCTCTTAAGAGTATTGAAAATAGTTTTTCCTACTCATTTATGATTGGTTACTTTTAACAATTAGGCCATCACACCTGCATTGTCATTAATAGGAGCACAGGATGTAGGCCAATGCCAATAATCAATGAAAATAGAGACATCCTGTTCGTGGATTTCAACAAAAATATGAAACAATTTTCACTGAACATTTCAGCCCCAGGGAAATGCCCAAGGAAGATCATGGAACGGTAATAATTATTACTTTAAAAACAAGTGTCTCTATGGCAAAGAATCATGCCATGACAACTGCCTGCAACCCTCTAGTTCAATTTGTATTGAATGCAAAAATACTATCCATAAAACATTTAAGGCATGACTTTCTGTATAGCATGATTGTGAAAAGTTCTATACAAATAAAAATTACTTAAATTGTCAAGTGAATGACTTCAATGTTTGGAATACAGTGGTGATACACAAACTCTGATTAAACATCACTTTGGGGACTCTAGTGATACACAAACTCCAATTTAATGTCACTTTGGGGACTCTGGTGATACACAGACTCCAATTTAATGTCACTTTGGGGACTCTGGTGATACACAAACTCCAATTTAATGTCACTTTGGGGACTCTGGTGATACCAGAGTTTATCAGACTACAGTTCATCACGCACTCTACAGTCAGAAAATTCTGGTCTGTTATCACAATCCTCATAACGGTGGTAGATCACTTTTTTTACTTAGCACCTAAACTGTGGAATAGCCTCACCAGACCTGTTTGAGACTAGACTAAAAACTAATCTCTTTAACCAAGCATATACCTAATTTAATTCAATGCCCAAACAATTTTATGCCGCAATAGTTAGCTTAATCGGAACCAAACACACATTTATTTTACTGTTCATCCTTTATATTAAGTGTGGCTTCCACGCTCATACCAGATATTTTCACAACTTAACCTTCATAAATTGGTTAATGAAAAACTACAAGTGGGGATGCCATTTCAACCGTTTATTTAACATCTAAAGGTATGCTTTATATGCTATAATGTCCAGATGTATAAACACATTTCCTTTAAAGTGAACATTAGTGAAACAGAAGAAAAATAAAACATGAACAGAACAATAAAAAACACTTAATTAGGAATTAATTAGGAACCAAATAATGAAACCTAGCCAACACATTAGGCATTTTTGAGTTGAACTATAGTAGCCTTCTCGCTGTGTTTCTGCATGCAGATCAGTACAATGAACACCAAAGTGAGTACGTAGAGCTGAATGTATCAGAACACAATACAACACACTTCATAGTTATTGTGGAGAGTCATGGCCAATGAGAATGAAGTGTTGTCATTAAGGCTTGCACAGCCGATTTGAGGGCAGCATCAGCGTCTGATCTGGGTAGTTGTTCTTGTCTTGCTCTTGCTGTACTTTGATGGCACATGTGATCAAAAGGCGGCTGCAACTCCAATCAAAGTCAAAGTCCAATCAAAATCTTTTAGCCTGAATGCATTGCGTTTGTTAGGAGGCGGTCGGTCTGCCCGGCAACATATTAAGCCAAACACACCTAGGAACTTGGAAATGATGCCCAACAATCCTCCCTAATACCTCTATCCATCCATTCTCACACCCTTTACCCTCTTTTCTTCCCCTTTACCTTCACTCCTCCATCTTTCTTCCCCTTTACTTTTTACTCCATCTTTTCCTTCCCTTTACCTCATTTCTCCCACTTTTCCTTCCCTTTACTTTCACTCCTCCATCTTTCTTCCCCTTTATTTTTTACTCCTCCATATTTTCTTCCCCTTTACCTTCACTCCTCCATCTTTTCTTCCCCTTTACCTTCACTCCTCCATCTTTTCCTTCCCTTTACTTTCACTCCTCCATCTTTTCTTCCCCTTTACCTTCACTCCTCCATCTTTTCTTCCCCTTTACCTTCACTCCTCCATCTTTTCTTCCCCTTTACCTTCACTCCTCCATCTTTTCCTTCCCTTTACCTTCACTCCTCCATCTTTTCTTCCCCTTTACCTTCACTCCTCCATCTTTTCTTCCCCTTTACCTTCACTCCTCCATCTTTTCCTTCCCTTTTCTTTCTCTCCTCCATCTTTTCTTCCCCTTTACCTTCACTCCTCCATCTTTTCTTCCCCTTTACTTTCACTCCTCCATCTTTCTTCCCCTTTATTTTTTACTTCTCCATATTTTCTTCCTCTTTACCTTCGCCCCTCCTCTTTTCTTCTCCTTGTGTTTGGCTTATGTTGCCGGGCAGACCGACCGCATCCTAACAAATGCTTTTAGGTTAGAAAATTTGATTGGACTTTGACTTTGATTGGAGTTGCAGCCGCCTTGTGATCACATGTGCCATCAAAGTACAGCAAGAGCAAGACAAGACCAACTACCCAGATCAGACGCTGATGCTGCCCTCAAATCGGCTGTGCAAGCCTTAATGACAACACTTCATTCTCATTGGCCATGACTCTCCACAATAACCATGAAGTGTGTTGTATTGTGTTCTGATACATTCAGCTCTACGTACTCACTTTGGTGTTCATTGTACTGATCTGCATGCAGAAACACAGCTAGAAGGCTACTATAGTTCAACTCAAACACACCTCTTTACCTACACTCCTCCCTCTTTATTCTGCTTTAGCTTGGCTCCTCCTTTTCTTCCCCTTTACATACAGTCCTCCCTCTTTCATTCCTTTACTTCTGCTGATCCCTGTGATCTTCTGACTACATTAAACGATTGTAATTGCTGATAAAATAAACAATATTCACACATTGTGAAAGTGCACATTTGAAATAGCAAAAGGCAACATGTAAAAATGAATTGAACAATAAAAACAATGAAAAATTTGTCAGTGCAGTGTTTTTCTAGACTCTTCATCCTTTCTCATAATCCATCACCTTAATATTACGTTCACTCCTCTCTCTTATCCTGTCTAGTTTACTTCATTAACGTTTTGTTTCCTTCTGTCCTCAAACAAATTCTCTCTTTATACATCTTTACTCTTCGTACTTAAACTTTTATCTAATTTCTTTGAAATGATGAGCATGATGTGGAAAGTGTTCAAACGGGGTGTAACGGCTTTACAGAAGTTATTCAAGTCTGATATGGTGTAAATGGTACTAATGCTTTTAACATTTTCCTCACCATGTTCTTAATGGTGTAAAAGGCAATGTAGCCTCTAAAATCCACCTCTTTTTTTTAAAGTTGTGATCCTGTTCCGCACATAATTTTTCACACCAGTCCATGTTCGTTCCTTTAAGGCTTCTGACTCTGCTTTAATGCATCTCTCACAGTCTTGCTTACCAGGAACTTTGCAGGTCTTTATGAACTTCATCATATGTTTTTCAACTGCTGTTACCTCAAA